AGAGAGAGAGAGATTAGAAAATATTTATTGGGTTTCCTATTTTATGCCAGGCACTCTCTTCTAGGCACTTGGGATAGATGTATTCAGTGAACCAGGGAGCCATAGTGTTGACCTTGTGGAGCTTACAGTCTGGTAGGGAAACACATGGGAGGTATACTTACAAATATGTTAAGGGTTATGAGAAGAGACTTAGGGGTACCATGAAACCCTTACAGCAGGAGGAGCTAATGTGGCTCAGAGAAAAGGTCACCCTAGGGAAGTGACATTTAGTATGGAATCTGATGGCTGGGTGAGAGTTAACCAAAACAAGAGGGAAGAGCCCTTCAAATTTATATTTAAAGTGCAGTAGGAAGTGAGAGTCTCAAACCAATAGAAGGTCCTTCTCCTGTTAGAGCACCAGGCTGTACAACCTCAGGATAGTCTCTTGCCTTCTCTGGATCTGGCATTCCTCACCCCTAAAATGAGGAGACCACATGTTCCTTTCAGCTGCAAAAATCAATGAATCCAAGACTGTTTAAAAAGTTAATGTAAGTGAAGGTCCATCTCTCCCAAAATAGCCCTAGTTGGAAACTTATCTCAAGCTGGTGGGAAGTGGTTTGAAAAAAATGCAGGGAGGGGACAATGTGATATTCTATAAACCTGTCCAGTTTCTAGCCACATACTCACTGGGGTCAGGCTTCTCTTCTCCTTGTAGCTCTCCCTCAGACACACCCAATCAGCAGTCCAAAGGGGACCGTGAAGTGGAACCTCTGAACATCAAACCCTGAAGAAAAAGCAGCCACATGTACTCTAAAACTAAAAAAATACTTTGAGTGATGTCTTAGTCATCTTTTATGGGTTTGACTCCCCTCCCCCAAAAAAGGTTTAAGTTTCTGATTTCAAAACATTGTTTTTTTGTGTTTTTTTGAGACAGATTATTATTCTGTCATCCAGGCTGGAATGCTGTGGTGTGATTTCAGCTTACTGCAACCTCTGCCTCCCAAGTTCAAGCAATTCTCCTGCCTCAGCCTCCTGAGTAGCTGCAAATGCATGGTGCACCATCAAGCCTGGCTAAGTTTTGTATTTTTAGTAGAGATAGGGTTTCACCACATTGGCCAGGCTAGTCTTGAACTCCTGACATCAGGTGATCCACCTGCCTTGGGCCTCCCAAAGTGCTGGGATTACAGGCATGAGCCACCATACCTGGCCCTGGTTGTTTAAAAAGAGCCTGGCACTTCTCCCTCTTCCACTTGCTCCCTCTCTTGCCATGCGACATTCTGGCTCCCCTTTCCTAAGGCCTCACCAGAAGCAGATGCTAGCACCATGCCTTTTTTTTTTTTTTTTTTTTTTTGAGACGGAGTCTTGCTTTTTTGCCAGGCTGGCATGTAGTGGTGCGATCAGCTAATTTTTGTATTTTTAGTAAAGATGGAGTTTCACCATGTTGGCCAGGATGGTCACAATCTCTTTACCTCGTGATCTGCCTGCCTTGGCCTCCCAAAGCGCTGGGATTATAGGCGTGAGCCATGCTTATGTAGTCTGCAGAACCATGAGCCAAGTAAACCTCTTTTCTTCATAAATTATTCAGCCTCAGGTATTCCCTTATAGCAATGCAAAATGGACTAACATTTCATCCAAACAAGTTAATCAATCTGTATCTGATTTTCTCATGTGTCTGGAGGGGATAATAATGATACCAACCTCATAGAGATCCTTATGGGATTAAATGAGGTGATTATATAAAGCAGTTAGAATACCGCCAGGCATGGTGGCTCACAGCTATAATCTGAACACTTTGGGAGGCTGAGGCAGGCAGATCACTTGAGATTAGGAGTTCAGAACCAACCTGGGCATATGGTGAGACCCCCATCTCTACAAAAATAAATAAATAAATAAAATATAATAAAGCAGAATATTACCTAGCATATGGTAAACATCCAGTAATAGTTTTGGGGTTTGTTTATAGATTTCCTTATTTTAATAAGTATCTTATAATATGTACAAAATGCTGCTAAATTAGACACGGATCTTTTTCTTAAGAAGTTAGGATTCTAGCAGATTCTAGGGAAATTAGACCTGCCCCCAAAAAGTATGTGTCAGAAGAGAAAAGGGTAAGTTTCTTAAGAGAGAAACAGAAAGTACTAAGGAAATTCAGAGGAAGGAGAGACTCCTTCTAAAGTGGGGGTAGAGGGTGGAATTAAACAGCCAAAGTTTCTTTCATCTTCAAGTGGAGCTGATACTGCTGTCTGTGAAAAACAGCCAAGTTTCCTGAAGGGAAGCCCTTTAAGAGGCAGTAGTGCAAGGGGGTTGTGGATTCAGGACTGGCCCTGAATGGTCCCCAGTTAGAGCATAGGCTCTGCCCCTTGCTCCTGTGAGCCTTTGAGCAGGTTGTTTGGCTTGCCATGCATCTGTTGCTACAGCTGCAGGATGTGAATATTGATAATGTCTCCTGCACCTGATTATTGTGAGGATGACGTGTAGTGGTGTTTAGAGAGTGCTCAGTGCACACTATGGCCCCCAGTCCACATAGTGTGTCCAATATTGTCAGTTATAAGAAGAAATGGGGCTGGGCGTGGTGGCTCATGCCTGTAATCCCAGCACTTTGGGAGACCGAGGAGGGTGGATCATGAGGTCAGGAGTTTGAGACCAGCCTGGCCAATATGGTGAAACCCTGTCTCTACTAAAAATAGAAAAAAATAGCCAGGCATGGTGGCACTCACCTGTAATCCCAGCTACTTGGGAAGTTGAGGCAGAAGAATCACTTGAACCCAGGAGGCGGAAGTTGCAGTGAGCCAAGATCGTGCCACTGCACTCCAGCCTGGGTGACAGAGCAAGACTCCATCTAAAAAAAAAAGAAAGAAAGAAAAGAAGAAATGAATGTGCCAGTGTTGCTATGATTCTGTCTTCCTGGATTCTGTCACAGACCTAGAATTATTCAGTTCACAAAGGAAGTGTTGCAAAGTACATGTTTAAAGAAAACGATGTTGTTTTTATGAATGGGCTCCTTACTATTGTTTTTGTTCAAGTAACAAAACATGATTCAAGCACCCATCTCAAGAACCCACCCTTATTTCCTGACACCCACTCAGGCTTCTGGAATTAAGGCTCAGCCAAACAGTGGCCCCAACTCCAGTCCCTCCAAACTGAGTGTTGCTGCCAAGATCAGGCCTGACAGCTATGGGTGGGTTTTTGTTCATTAATCATCCTGACATTCTGGAGAAATACAGGACCCCTGACTTCCTGGCCAATATGTGACTTTATTTCATTGTCACATCACCATTAGGGCAACGGATGATAAAATTAGAATTTCATCAAAAATTCAGAATTAGAAAAAAAAATAAGCTACAGTGTCTTTACTATGAAAACACTGCAGCTTATTTTTCAAGTATTTTTGAATGAATACTACGTGGCAGGCATTTAACCCACATAAGAACCTTGGAGAGTAAGGCTGTTATTCTCATTTTGCATTGGGAAACCAAGGCACAACAAGAAGGTCTGGGGACCAGAAGGAAGCCCAGGTCTCTGAACTGTGAATGACTGCTCTCTGTGGGTTACCAGGCTGGTGTGGTTTTTATTCCACAACAGTTGTTGAAAGTCTTCAGATTGGCAAACTTCCTCCTAATATAGCATGTTTTCTCAGGTCTTTTCTGATAAGCATTTGTGTTTTCTGAGAACCAACAAAAAAATCTTATTAAACCACAAACTATCACAGCCTCTTCCAAACCTATAGAGAACCGCTTTGCCAGCAGAGCTCCATCCCTACCTTCCCATCATTATCAAAGTAGCATTGAAACAGATCAGAGATCTGCTCCTTTTGAGAGAATTAGTTGAAGCCCACACTTGCTTCAGGCCACACAGGGTTTGGTAGCAATACGAGGAAAGCAGCCTTTCTGACCTAGTGGCCTGAGTGCTTCCTTTACCAGGTTGGCTGCAGCAACAATTTTGAGAAATGACATTGGCATTGGCATGTGTGTAGCACGTGTGCTGACCTAGGTAGGAGTTGAGGCTCCATTTCTAATTCTGTCTGTTTCGCGTTGAGCTGTGTGACCTTGGGCATGTCACCTAACTTCTCTGTATATATCTTCTTATCCAGGAAAGGGAGATTACTATGCCTCTGAATATCTAATTCTCCTAAGGATGTTATGAGAATCAAATGAGATTATGTACAATGAGAGCTAACGTTTATTCAATACTTAGTATGTACCAAATACTTTCAATTTCCTTAATGTGTTTTTTAATTCCCACAATCCTAAAACAGAGGCACTAGTATCTCACTTGACAGTTAAAAAAGCTGAAGTTCAGAGAAATTAAGTCACACAGAACTCAGATCCACATCTGTGGCCCCCAAAGGATGTTTCTAACCACTGCGCTTGTCATATTGCTTCCCATTATACACAAGAGTAGAGAGATGTTCTTTGTCTTTACCATCAAGCACTAGACAAATGCAAGAAATTCTCTCTCCCAACTATCACTGTTCCATGTTAGTCCCTAAGGACGTTTAAATTCTCTTACTTGTTTATCTTATTTGGTAGTTTATGCTGCTTCTTTTTATGTCCCTGAGGACTTTTTCAGTGAATTCTTTTGGTTTTACTCCCAGAGAATCTGTTTGTCTCCTTTATAAAAGGGGGTTAAAGGAGCCCAGCTGAGCCTGGCATCTTGGGCAGTGGCCTCTTCTCCAGGTTCTTCCTTCCTTCAAGCATGTAGTTAGGTAGCTTGTAGTAAAATGCTCTCTATATAATGCATTTGTTGATAAGCTCCTCTGTCACTGATTTTTAGTCACTGAATTTCAGAAGTGGAAAGCACCAAAGCCAGCATTTTGTTGATGGGGAAACTGAGGTCCAGAGAGGGATGTGACTTGCTTGAGGTCATTCATTCAGTTGAAGGCCTGACCAAGACCTGAACCCAGTTCCCCAGGTGACAAGACAGTGATGTTTCCAAGCCTTCCCTGTGGGCACACATCACCTCCCCAACTTGAAGGACTATCTCATGTACTGTGCCCAGCATGTACCTGGGAAACTTGGAGAAATTAAACAACTTGGAAAATTGGGCAGGAAGAAAGAGATAGGTGTGGGGTGGGATGAAGATCTCCACCCTAACTAATATGTTATATACCAAAGAAATGAATTAAACACATGGCAAAGTAGACAACTCACTAAGAAGCAAAGGGGTTTACCCAGAAGCCCTGGCTCAGTGAGTGGATAGGAAGCCTTTTGTTACTAAAGCTGCAGGGTTGAAAATTGAAGGAAGGATGTTAGGCGAGTGTGGCGGCCTGGGGTGCAGCTACAGCCCCTGGCTTATTGTCCACAGGAAATGGGTCTCTCCCATGGATAGAGAGGTGGAAACTGAGCTTGTGAGTTGTGTGGTTGACATCATCAGGCCGAGCATTGGATTACAACAAATGGGGACTTACTTGGCCCGAGACATGGGAAACACCCACTAAAACCTCGAAGTGCTTTTCATTTAGGAGACACGGGGAAGAGAGAGAGGGGTAAAGTGAGAATCCTGCCTGCACCACAGGTCTGGCTGGACTGCTAACCTTGAATCCTGGTGTCTTAAGTTCTGCCTCCACTTTTGACTGAGGACCACTGAATTTTGAGGAAACTTTGCTCTTGTAAGTAGAACTTTACTTTCCTCCCCTGTCCACCACCTCCAGGGAGAAGCAGAGCTTGGAGGCCGAGCTCTCTGGAGAGCTTGCTTTCCAGCCTGTTGGCCACAAACTGTCTATTTTTATGTTATGATATATGTGAGCTTGCTCTGAAAATTATGGCTTTGTCTGAAACTGCCTAAGGCTAGTCAGAGCCTTAAGTCTCACAGATGGGCTCCATTCAGATACTGTTTCATTTTTACCCAGAGAACTTTGACAGAATATTCAGAGCTTTAAAAGCGGCTCCTTGCTCCAGATATAGGTGAAGAAATAAATCTTCCCTGAGAAATTGGTGTTTGTAAGACCTTTGCTTTTTTTTCTGATTACAAAGGTGGTATAAAATTTTTTAAACATTCTGGAAAGAAAAGTCTCTGAAAGTAGTGAAAATCCCCTATAATCTTCCCCCTCATGAATACGGTTGTTGTGTTAAATTTCAGTTACAGATATGGTCAGACTTCATGAATTTATCACATATAAACCCAGTGCTGCAGCAGCCGTGTGGAAAACTCCAAGATGGAAAGGGGCTGGAAATCTTTAACCTTGGGTTTGTGATCTTTTTATTGCTTCCTTTAAAAAGTTTGCTGTTTATGCCTAGAATATAAACAGGACATGTAAGCCCTTCGGTGTTTTATTGTTGGTATCTGTTTTCAGGATTTGAAACTAAGCAAGCTACTCTGTGGAGAGGAAAAGAGGGGGCCCTTGTTGTGCCCAGGTCTGTCACTTGGTGTCCCTGAACTGAGGGTTCCCAGGTGGCTTGAGATGGCTTGAATGTGTGGGGGCCCACCTCCCAGTTAGCACATTAAGTATATATATTTGAAAAGTTAAAGCTAACAGGGTAAGATTTCAGCTTAAAAAACCAAAAAACTACCATGTATTAGAAGGGTCACCCAAGGAAACTGTCACTTTGGGCAAGTGTTTCACACTCTCTGGGTCTGTTTCTTCGTTTGTACCTAATGAGGGGACAAAACTAGATGATCTCTGTATTTCCAGATTGAGTATGAAATGAACTGTCCATATTTCTGTTCCTTTTGTGTTGGGCCTTTATGGCTTTAGGAGCAAAGTACCTGAGGTTTTCAGTTTCCCAGAGGAGCTAAAAACTGGTGCCTGTAGGGCAGTTAAAAGAAGGCATAAAATAGTCAGCATTAAGTTACTTCTGAGTTTTTATGGGTCTTTTTTAGGTAAAGTGTTAGTGGTGTGTGTATATGTATGTTTATATGTGTGCACACATATACACAAGCATGTATACTTGGGGAGAGAGGAAAGAAGGAATTGACATTATTGAGTATCTCTTAAGCACTAGGCCCTGTATTATGCTCAACCATTTACATAGCACTAGATGGTCAGTATTATTCCCTAACACTGTTGACTGAGGGCAACCATCTACTTACATGTTCTCTTATGATCCTGAACCCCTTCATGTTTAACTGAACTGTATTTAGATAATTACCAGCATAACTTCAGTTCCCTGTGTCTCCACTAGACCACGTGCACCCTCTCTGTGTGTCTGTCTAGCCCATCGCTATGCCCCATTGCCCAGTAGAAAGCCTGGCACATAGGTACAAAGGAGACACAACTTAATTTAAACTTAAAGCCTGCCATCCTTGTTCCTAGTTAGGCAAGAAAGAGGGAGAAGAAGGGGGAACATCTCTCTGTTTGCCTCTCTTTCATCATTTAACATAGATCTGCCCTCTCCTGCCGCAAGGGAGGGATAGACACAGCCAGAGTGCAAAAAAAAAAAGAAAGAAAGAAAAAAGAAAAGAAAAGCAAAAGATGTCAGATTTTGAATTTTGAATTTCCAAGGTCCTAGGTCTTGACAAATAAAGGCCTTTCTTTAAGGGCATAAGAGACCCAAATCCTCAGGAAGTTGTGATATTTAGAAACTATTTATTTGAATTAAGATACTAGTTAACAGGAGGGTTCTTAACGGCCCTTGGCATTTCTTAAAGCTGCAGTCTTCCCCAGCAGTTCATCCCATTGAAGGTGGACTGTTGCTGCCATGGACCCACCCATGGGCATGGGCACTAGGAAGGCCAGGGCCTCCTCCTCTGCTTCATCCCAGCACCCTCAGGATCTTGAGATTTGGAGTAATCAAAAAAGACATGCTTTTTCCTAAGGTGGTGTGAGGAAGTGATGTTCTCGAAGGAAACCTAGACTTTGTGGTCCAAGAAGTGGGGAGTGGAAATGTGGAATGCCTTATACTCCTCAACCAGGCTTTCATGTACCAGACGAGGGTGGCTTTTGATTCTTATTTTGTGTGTCAAAGTCACTGTTGTTATCAGTGTGCTTTTCCTGACCTACCCCACCTCAGTCACCCTTGCAGTGAGTTTAGGCTATCTTGGGAGTAGAGGTAGCATGTGGAAAAGACATGTCCAGAGATCTTCCCTGGCTTTTGTATATTCCTGAAATAAATGTCACATACAGGGCTGGGCATCTTGCATATGCTGACTTCTCTTAATCTTCACAGCAATTATATGAGGCAGAGATCATGTCCATGTTACACATAAGAAAGGCACAGAGAGGCGCAGTGGATTGTCCAGAGTCTCACAGCTGGCAAGAGATAGAGCTTGAGTCAATGAGAACTGGCTGTCCCCGAAGCTCTTGAACATTTTACCACAGTGCACTGCCTTTTCCGTATCACCTCCCTGGATCTCAGTCTCTCCATCTGTGAAATGATGACGAGTGAACTAGAGTCTGAAGTCAGAGTGGTGTTTGGTTTTAATTTGAATGCCTTTAGGCAGGTGTGTTCTCTAGTTCATTATGGTCTGCGCATTCACCTGCCCCGCCCTCTAGTCCCCTGCCTGGCCCCTGGCTCCTGGCCCCTGCTCCCTGTAGTCATTTGCAACCCTGGGTCTGGTTGGTGTCCGCTGTCTCTTTCAATTTTGACAGTCTAGAATTCAGTGAGAAATTGGAAAGGGATAGCAGGTAAGAGCTCTGCTCTCACTACCTCCTAGCTGGGAGATGCTGGACTGATCACCTCATCTTACAGAACCTACTTCTCTTTCTGTCAAGTGGGGGTGAGGGTCACAGTCATACCGACCTCAAAGGGGTGCCATGTGGATGAAATGAGATAGGGATCATAAAGCACTTAGTTGGTATAAAAATACAAGCTTAGGATTAGCTGCTCACAATTTCCAGAAAGAGAATGTCAGCCAATATACACAGGCATCTGCCCCCTCAGACATAGGATGGCATTTGTATGAGGAACCGGAAGTTATCTTTGAACTCATCATTTTGAAACCCCTGTGATGGACCCTGGAGCTGCCATGTTGGCTCTTCAAACCAAGCCTTAGCACTATTTCCTCTCACCTAGTCAAGTGTGATGCTGAGCCTCAAATCAGCCAGCCAGTGCTGAGGCCAAAAGCAGAAGGGGCTGCTATTCTCCTCGGACCAGAGGACCCTGGCCCAGCAACTTAAGGAAGAACCTGGTAGCAAGTGCTGGGTGTGACAGACAAGAAGTTGAACTGGCACAATTAACTCTGCCAAGTGCTTTCATGAGGGGCCAGAAGCAATTCCTAAGTGGAAACTGAGGGGGGAAATCTAAAGTTCTGGGAAACAGGTTATTAATCATGACCCTAGGCTGAGCTCACTGCTTCCTGGAAATCCTTCAGAAATGCCTTAGGAAAACTGAGTACTGCTCCTTCAAAGAGTGGTTTCTTTGGAATTCGCAGTCAGCTCTGATGCTGATTGATTATGAATTGCAGATCAGAACACACAATTCATTGATTATGAATTGCAGATCTGCTCTACTGGACAAGCCAGCATTTCCTAAAAGAAGTCTCTGTAATCTTTGAAGAAATGACGAGCTTTAGCTTGGCTCTTCAGAACTGAATAATGGCCCTTCACAGCACTGAAGAAAGTATTTGGTGCATTCTTACTATGTCCCAGGGATCTAGGTCACTTACTGTTTTAGTACTTTATTAATGTGGTCTTTAACATTCAATAAACGTACATTGAGGGCCTGTTAGTACTAAGCACTGGGCTAGAGGACTGGGGTAGACACAGCCTCTGGTCTTGTGGAGTTCTCTGTGCATCAAGGGAAGATAGGCAGAGGAGTGAATAATTTAAATGGCATGTGAAAAGTACTGCAAAGGAAATATGCCCAAGTGCTCCAAAATGCCAGACACTGGATCAGCATCCTTGTGGAGGTCCTGATCTTGTGCTGGGTTGATTCCTCCTGCGCTCTCCCTGTAGTTCCTGACTCTGGGAGCTTTGCCAGCATTTGCATTAGGGAGCAACTGAGAGCTGCCCCTGGTGAAGCACTCAATTCTGACACCTTCCTATCTCCCGTGGCTTAAGAGGGGCAGAAAGAACACTTCCTCACAAAATGTATGGGCCCCACCTGTCAGGGCCCTGAATCTGAAGTCCAAAGTTGTAGTAAGGAAACAGAGGGACGGGGGATTTTTGTAGTCTAAAATCACCACTGATTTTCCGTTGGTTTGTTTTTATAACATTTATTGTGGGTTTTTTTTTTCCTGATTGCAAAATTAGAATATGTTCATGGGAAGAAAAGCTAGATAGTACAGAAAAACATACTTAAAATAAATCATCACTCAGTGATTTCACTTCTCTGGTTTTTGAATAAGGGCCTGTCTCCCAATCCCCCCCCCCCACCCACATACCGCTATATTTCAAGTTCAGCTCTAATTTTAATTTCTCCCTGGGTAGAGTCTCATGTTTGTTTGCATATCTCAAAGGTGCTTGTGTTCTGGGCTTACAATCACTGGGGAGGAGAGAAACCACTATCTGGGATTGGTTCGAGCCTGTGGTCTTCATTAGTACTTTCATGTATGTGTACATGGATTCACCTACTGCTAACACCCCTATGTGTTAGGCATTACACAAGGTGCTGTGGGGAATGTCAGGGTAAATAAGACTTTGAGGTTGCTCACAGCCTGATAGGAAAAAGGACTCAGATAACATGAACATATGTGATAATGTGCCCCAAGATGGATGGGTACAGAGTCCTGTAGAAAGCCTGAGAAATTGGAGGAGCAGTACCATTTGAGCTGAGCCTTCAATAAATTTTTCACATATTTAGCCAATATTTGTTGAGAACCTAATATCTGCCAGGTACTGGGCAAGGTGATAGGTGGACGATGCTAAATAAAACAGGCATGGCCTTTACCTGCATGAAGTTTACAAGCACAAATGGTGGCGTTAAGAAATCAATAAGCAGGGGCAGCAGAAGAGGAGAGTGTGGCTGGGGTCTTCCTTGAAGACGTGTTGAAACTGAGAAGAGGGCCAGGCACGGTGGCTCATGCCTGTAATCCCAGCACTTTGGGAGGCTGAGGTGGGTGAATCACCTGAGGTCAGGATTTTGAGACCAGCCTGACCAACATGGCAAAACCTCATCTCTACTAAAAAAAAAAATACAAAAAGTTAGCCAGGCGTGGTGGTGCATACCTGTAGTCCCAGCTACTTGGAAGGCTGAGGAGGGAGAATTGCTTGAACTTGGGAGGTAGAGGTTGCAGTGAGCTGAAATCGCACTATTACACTCCAGCCTAGGTGACAGAGCAAGACTCCATCTCAAAACAAAACAAAAACTGAGAAGAGGAGTCAGTTATATCAAGAGTAAAGGAGAGAAAGGGAGTGAAGAAGGGTTTGTGGAGTGGGAAGGAATAATCCAGGCAGGTAGAAGTGCACATGTGAAAGCACTTGAGGCAGGAAAGCATACAGAGTGTTGGAGAAACTGAGGGTAGGCCTTTGTGGCCAAAGCACAGAGGGAGAGGAGGGGAAGAAATGGGTGAAAATTAGGGTGAGGAGGTTAAGAGAGTTAGGCTCGGCCTGGGGGATGTTGGCCTTTGTGGGGGATGTTTGCTGTGTGGGGAATGGATTGGAAGGCAACAGTGAAATGGAGTGAGGAGGCTATTCACTTTCCCAAGTAGCTGAGAACACAGGTACATGCCATCATGCCCACCTGATTTTGTTTATTTTTTTTTGGAGAAACATGTCTCCCCAGGTTGCCCAGGCCTCAACTTCCTGGGCTCAAGTGATCCTCCTCACTTGGCCTCCCAAAGTGCTGGAATTATAGGCATGAGCCACTGCACCTGGCCATATTTAACATTTTAATAGATAATACCATCCTACTTTACAAAGAGTTGTAATAATTTATATTCTCCCCTGCAATATACAAGTACTTCCATTTCCCAGAATTTTTACCAATATTAGATATCCTCACTATTCTTCTTTTCTTCCTTCCTCCTTCTCTCCCTCCCTTCCTTTCTATCTCTATTGTTTGATTTTGTGGCCAAGCTAATGGGGGAAAATCGTGTCTGATAATTGCTTACTTTACTACTTAGTAAGATTAGACATTGATTCACGTTAATTGGCCATTTCGTTCTGTGAATTTCCTTCACCTAGTCTTAGAATAGTCTTGTTTGCCTTTATCTCAACAAGTTGTAGGAGTTCTTTGTATATTTACATATTAAGGATACCATATGTGCTACAAATATTCTTCCAAATCTATCATTTGCTTTTATTGCAAAATATAAAATTTTTAATTGTAAAAATGTATTTTCTGTTTCTCTTTATAGTGTCTAGATTTCTTACCTTATTTAAAAATAACTTCCACACATCAAATTTATGTAAATATTTTCCTAATACTTGTATTGTTTTAATTAACTTAACCTAGAATCTTTAATTCCTTTGGAATTTATGTTTATAGATAGCAAGAAGAAGTGGTCTAGCTGTGTTCTAATTATGCCAATACTATTTCTTAAAAAAAGGTCTTTTCCTTTTACATTGAAATCCCATATTTTTATAAATAAGTTTCTTTATATACTTGTATCTGTTAATATTTCCGGACTTTCTGTTCTAGTCCACAGACCTATTTGTCTATTCTTATGCTAATACCATATCTTTTTGTTAAAATGTCTTTATTGTACATTTTTTTAATCTCATAAGACAAATCCCCTATTTTTTGTAATTTTCTGGACTATTTCTTGGCTAATTTTTTTTGGCTATTTTGTATGCACTTAAAGTAATTTTATCCATTCAGCCACTGGAAAACCAATTGGTATTCTTCCTGAAATTTAATTAAAATTACATAGTGATTTCTAAAGGATTGACATTTCTTGATAACTAGGCTTTTCCAGCCAAGTTGACCACATGCTAACTGGTGTGGTATTTATGCATTCTATTTTTATTTTTTTGTTGTTTTTAACCTTTAGAATTTTAATATGCATCATGGATGTATTATGGAAAGTAAAACAGTATTTCTGTGTTCTGAATACTCAGGGAACTTAAAAATTTTATCTCTTCTATCCTGTTATTTTCAGATATTTAATATCAAATATCACATTTGTTGTATCTCCTGTTAGCTTTTTTTTATTAAATCAGTATGTATTTAAATTTACCAATATGCCTACTAATTCCTTTGCTCATTGTTTGTTCTAAAATCTCACTTATTTTCTGTGTTCAGTTTCCTTTCTGTTGGAGAATATTCTTGGGGTCTGTGAATGGCAAACTTGCCCATTCTTTGTTTGAAAATATTTTTTGCCTTTGTATTTGATATGTTAACTATAGAATTTTTTGCATAGCATGTGTAATGAATGTGAAAGTTATACATGCCTCTTTAAAAGTTTTCAATCAAAACAAATAGATAATATACCAAGTGAAAGTCTTTCATTTTTTTCCCCACAATTTCTCAAAAGAAAAGAATTTTTTTCTAAAGAGAGAAATTTCCCATGGGAAACCATTGCTTATAGTTTGCTCTTTTCTTTGTATACTGAAAATTATTTAAATTTAAACTATATACCTTCTAAAATGTGCATGTACACAAATGCTGTTCTTTTTTCTAAACATAAATAAGCATGTTCATATTTGAGTTGGACACAGTAGCTTATGCCTATAATCCCAAGCTACACAGGAGGCTGACTGGGGATGATTGCTTGAGGCCAGGAGTTTGAGGCTACAGTGAGCTATGACAGCACCAGTACACTCCAGCCTGGGGACAGAGTGAGACTTTGTCTCTTAAAATAAAAAAAAATATTTTAAGTTCTTTTTTTTTAATTAAAAAAGGATAATATAAGCAATTTTACCATATACTTTTTAACAAGCTTGTACATTTTTCCATATCAGTTCAATGAAATCTCCTTCATTCTTTGAAATAGCTGTATAGTGTCTCATGGTATTGATACACCATAATTTGACTCTTTTTCTATTAATAGACGTTTAAGTTGTTTTCCCCCTTGGTTTTGCTACTGTACAATGTTTCACTGAGTATCTTTTTATTAGATAAATATATCTGTTGTATAAATTCCTGGACATTTCAGGAATGTGATATGTCCAGGAATTTGACCCCAAAGGTTATATATGCACATGTAATATGTTAATAGGTATTGTCAACTTGTCTTTTCAAAAGATTGTTTCAGTTTATAATCCCAGAGTATGTCTGGCTCTAATTTTTGTTTTTCTTCTGGTTCTTTAGAATTCCCATACTGATTAGTCAACGGTGGAAAATTTGAAGAGATGCAAGCAGGAAAAAGAAATTAAACCAGGTGGGTAGTGACGCTGTTGATGCTATACTGCCAGAGCAGCACACATTTCTGCCTGAATACCTTTATTTCTGATTGAAGGAAGAAGGTACATAAGTTCCAAATGAAGTTAGAGGGAGGTTTTGACCCCATGAAGAAAAGGCAGGAGGGCTCTTTTCAGAATTTATATACATAACATCACGCTGCAAGTTCACAATCAAGATTCCATTTTCAGGCTCTTTTTTAAAATATGTATAGCATCAGAAAGACAGTTTACCTCCAGTGGCTTAAGAGGGAATGGGTTTCCTGGCCATGAGCAGGAATCATACACAGGAGTTACTACCAACTTTGGGCCTGGTGCCAGCTTTCTTTTCTACCAAGTGTTTGCTGTAAAGCTGTTTTCACAAAGACCAGGGCACATGATGGGAATTTTCATTTTAATGCTGTAAAGGAGGAGCAAAAGCAAGCAAAACCCAACCCAAAGAAATGGGTTCGGCCCAGTAGTCTGGTGAGGAGAAATGAAGATGTAGCCCCTCCTGCTGAGAACAAGTTGCCGTTCAATAGAGCATGAGTGGCCTGCCTGGCAGTATCGCCACCTTGGGTCAGTGTTCATAGTTTATGATATCTAAATGTTTCTGGAATAAGTTAATATTTTTAAACTCAGCGTAACATAACCTTTTACCTAAAGCATAACATAACATAACATAACTTTTTACCTAAAACAGTAATTATCAACAAATCTGGTGAATTTCTTTGAATCATCAAGTTGGAAGTACCGGGTCCACAGATGACATCTCACCCACTAGGCATCCATCAGCTTCCATGGATGTAATTGTTAAGGTATCAGAATTGAAAGGTATTCTAGATTGGCCTATACCCACATGGACTTTCTCCATAGCTGGAATTTTCACGAGGAGGCTAGAGAGCCTCGGTGTGAGCTCCTCGCTCTGAAGAGCTTGCTGAATCCACTGTGCATCTGTCCATAAACTAAGGATGGTGTGGGGACTGAAAGCTGCATGAGGAGAGCAGCTTATTAGTTTCTCTGTCTTCAGCAGCACAAGGGGCGCAGTTTAGCTGTGTCTGCTGCAGCTCACTTTAGGCTCCTGCCTCAGCCAGGTAAAGCTTTTCTCATTTTGACATTTATTTAGCAGATATTTATGGAGCATCTTTTATAAATTGGACACTAGATAACAAAGCACAAGTGGTACAGTCCTTCCCTCAGGAAGCTTATGTATCTGGCTGACAGTAGACTTGTAGCAGTAGTCTGTGGTAGGTCCAGAGGGCTAGTAGGCAGAGGGTGCTGAGGCTTGAAAGGTGTGCAGGAGATGACTTGGAGCAGGCACAGGGAGAGGCTGTGGGCTTTCGGAGCAGCATGGCGAAGGCCTGGGGGCTCAGGGGCGTGGTACTCCATGGAATTCCATGGGCTGTACACAGTGCAGAGGGGATGCCCTGGCTGGAGTTGAGTCTGGAAGTGGCTGTCAGCGAATCTGAACTTTATCCTGATGGTTCTGAATGGAAAGTCACTGGAGGCTTTTAAGCAGGAGAGAGGCTTAGCTCCAGTTTGGGTAAAGGACTGAGGGAGTTCCATACTCTGCCCGGCGCATTCTCATCCCTCTCTTAGTGCCGTGTTCCTCGTTACCTTGGACCATCAAGAAGGCAGGGACAGAGCCCCAAGTCTAAGATAAGATAGTCTCCTTGGAGAGAAAAGAGGAAGTGGTGGTGGGTGGAGAGGGGGTGGGTCAGGGCACGCAGTGTAAATCAGAGCATACAGGTGGCCTTGGATAAGTCACCACACCTGTGAGCTTCAGCTTCTTCATCCATTAAATGAAGATAGCAAGTATTACTCTTCTTTTCTCTCATCTCACCTGAATATTTTACATGCCCAGCTATGGCTTCCAGAGAAATCGCTCGTTTGCTTGTTATGTAAGGATTTGTTGAAATCCTCAAGAGCATATTAAGTGCGTCCTGTTGCTGCAGCTTATCTCCTGGGATAAGAGCCGTGAAGACACCTTAGCCTTGGGATCAGTCTCACAGCTCTCTCTCTGCAGCACATAAAGATCAGTCTAAAGAGGAGAGAGAGCAAACACTGAGTGAAAGCCAGGTGTGTTCTTGGCCACACCCACAGACAAAAAAGTGTTTGGGCAAAGCTTCTAGAACTATTATTTAAGCCATGTGCCAGACACCTCCAAAGAGGTGGAACTATTTGCTGGTAGTGACACAGGAAGAAGGAGAAGAACTGGAGTCTAGAGGCCATGCTCTCTGACTTCTGTGCACAACGCTTGACATTCCACTGGTGGTCTTTCAGACCTTTCAGACAATGCAAAGGACACAGAAGAATCAAGGGATTCTCTTACAAACCTTGAAAATCCTATACAGAGCCCTCAGACAAACAAAACATGGTCTGAATCCTGGGGCCAGCGTGCCCACTTAGCACTTCCCCTCAATCAGTCCTTTTCCCCAAGTGCATTAAACAGGGCTGCTACCTTCCCACCATATGGGCAAACTGCTTGGCAGCAAGGAATATGCCCCCTTATCTCCCAGGCTACTCTCCTTTGCACCTCAGCAAGGAAGGCAGGCCATGCATCCTGGGAAGAATAGTTATTCCTTCTACCAGAAGGCCACCCCCTCATATGGTTTGCCATGGACACTAAAGTCACTCCCTATCTCCCAGCCATGAGGAAAACTCCTTTAGAGGAGCCAGTGAAGCCAGTGGAGAGAGTAAAAGTGAGAATCCTGCCTGGCTGAACAAGATCTCTAATGCCCAGTTTTGGAAAGAGTTGCGGCTGTGTCCACACCAAACTATTTAGAGAATCTGCCCAGTAGAATCAATATTGTCAAAATGTCCATACTACCCAAAGCTATCTACAGGATTAATTCTATTCCTATCAAAATTCCAATGGCATTGCTTACAGAAATAGAACAAATAATCTTAAAATGGAACCATGAAAGACCTCAAATAACTAAGGCAGTCTTGAGCAAGAAAAACTAAGTTGGAGGCATCACACAACCTGATTTCAAATCATATTGCAGGCTGGATGTGGTGGCTCACACCTGTAATCCCAGCTCTTTGGAAGGCTGAGGCAGGAGGATTGCTTAAGCTCAGGAGTTCGAGACTAACCTGGGCAACATGGTGAAACCCTGTTTCTATAAAAAAAAAAATCCAAAAATTAGCTGGGCATGGTGGTGTGTACCTGTAGTCCCAGCTACTCAGGAAGCCAAGGTGGGAGGATCACTTGAGCCCAAGCATCTCATCAAGACTGCAGTGAGCCATGATCATGCCACTATACTCCAGCCTGGCTGACAGAGTGAGATTGTGTCTCAAAAAAAAAGTTATAATGCTATAGTAATCAACACACACAATGCACACACACACAGAAAGAGAGAGAGAAAGGGGGGAGGAATATTATTCAGCCTTAAAAAAGAAAATCCTGACATTTGCAGGAACATGGTGGAACCTGTAGGACATTATGCTAAGTTAAATAAGGCAGACACAGAAGGACAAATACTACTACAGGATCTCAGTTGTATGTGGAATCTAAACGAGTTGAACTCAGAGACAGTAGAAAGGTTGTTGGGGAAATGGGGGGTACAAACTTGCAGTTCTAAGATGAATACATTTTGAGACCTAATGTACAGCATGGTGATGATAGTTAACAATACGGTATTATATACTCCAAATTTGCTAAGAGAGTAGATCTTAAGTATTCTCACCACAGAAAGTAACTGTATGAGGTGGTGGATATGTTAATTAGCTCGATTGTGGTAGTCGTGTCACAGTGTGAATATATAAAATTTTTGTTTGTCATTTATAACTTAATAAAACTGAAAAAAAAAATTAAAGAATCTGCCTAGGTCACAGGAAGCCATCAGTCATACCCTAAGCTGTGTGTAAACCCAAAGAATATGGTTTATAGCATATGGATGAGTGCTCTTGTGCCAATGCTGGGCTAAACCTTTACATCCAGTGTCTAATTAGGTAGCTTCTGTTATTATCCATGTTTTACCAAGGAGGAAACTGAGGCTTTTTGAGACTAGATGACATCATTTGGCCAATGTACCAGAGCTAGAAAGTTGCATAACCAAGATTTCACTTGAGCTTTTTTTAGCTCCACATCTTCTATTTTTCAGCTACACCAAAACGACTTCTTGAATTTAGCTTTGCTTTTCTGATAATAGTAACCACCACCTTTTATTGAGCATCTCGTCATGTGAGCCAGGCATTATACATCCATCCCTTCTAATCCCAGTAGAACTTTGCAAGGAAAGTATCATTGTCCCTGTTTCACATATGAAGAACCTGAGGTTCAGAGAGGTCACGAATTTTGCTTAACAAGTTTCTTCTGAGACTAGAGTGAGCTCTCAACTATCATCCTATATTTCCTTCGTTCCTTACTTTTTCAAGTTCTTAGGAGGAAAGGACTCAAAAAAAAATTATGCATGAATTTCCTTTAATTTCACAACAACCCTAAGGGTTGGGGGTTGGTATCTCTGTTTTACAGAAGAAGAAACTGAGGCTCAGAGATGTTAAGTGATTTGTTCAACATTATACAGCTAGCAATTGGTGGAGCCCGGATCCGTATAGGCTCTGATCCATAGCTCACTTGCCTCCCCAAGATTCATACAGGCTCTGATCCATAGCTTACTTGCCTCCCCCATTCCCACCCCTATCACCACCTTTCAGCTCTGTCTCCTTGCAATTGGAACAGAAAATCCAGCCTTTACTTCTCCAGGTCCTAGTTGTCTTGGGAGTCTGGGGGATTTCGAGCTCCTTTGAATTCCTTCTTTTGGCCTACTCTGCCTCCAGCACCTCTCGTAAGAGTCCTTTACACTGTTGTCATAGCAAGGGTCTCAACTGGAGGAAAGCTGCCTTGAGGTTGGAACTGTTCGGCTGCTTATCAGCAAGGCTTCAGGGCCTTGCCATAGCAACTTTCTAAGCCAGCCATCTTGTGACTTGTTCTGACTCAGGGCCCCTGGGAATCCCCTGGTTGCAGATGTTTGCAGTGACTAGGATGCATTCAGCTCCC